TGTATATACACAGATATATATATTCTCATCAAAATGTACAGAAATTATATCTCAATAAAACCATAAAATGCAAGTATGATTCCAAAAAGAATAAATGTACAATTATAGATTATTCAAAAATAGAAGGGGGATGTTGATAGAAAAGGAGATGGTAAACAAAGGAAAAGGATGATAAAGAGAGAACAAAACAGCAGTAGAAATGAGACCTAATACATGAAAAATCACAATTAAATTTTTAAATAGCTAACACTTACTAGTTGTGCTACATGCTGGGCACTGTTCTAAGAACTTTGTCCCATTGAATTCCCACAGTAACTTAATAATGAGGTTATTATGTTATCCTCAATGTTGTTACAGACTGAGAAAATTAAGTCTGGAGAGATTAAGAAAATTGCTCAGTGTCACACAGAGATGAATGGAGGAACCAACATCAGGAACCAGGTGGTCTGGCACATACTTTTAACCCCCATGCCAGAACTGGCTTCAACTTGCCTACAAAGTGGTAAACAATCCTTCTGCTTACAAGTGACACTCTCAAAATTGTACCACATGTAAAGCTTGAAAAGAAAGGTACTGGACTGTAGATCACTGAGAACAATACTAACAGAAGGTAAAAGTGAACTAAGGCAAATAATGTCAAAAGGGCTAATTATGAATGTTCCATCATAATAAAAGCAAGGATCCATTATAAAGATATACCAATGTCAACTTGTATGTCTATGATTGCATAACTTTGAAATATATAAAGCAAAAGCTAATTGAACTATAAAGTAACAGTTTTATCATAGAGATTTTTAACATATCTTTATCAGAAATGAATTGATCAAGTAGACACTGGAAAGTATACAAAAAATGCAAAGAACAATCTTAGCAAGTTTTGTCTAAGATATAGGTGTTCAGGTAGAGATATGTAGTATTCCATCCCCCCAAAATAGAAAATAAACATTTTTATAAACTACCCACAAAATAATTAGCAAAATATATTGATTATGTAGAAAATCAGAGGGGAAATTCCATTACTAATGTCCAATAATAAGGAAATAAATTAATACACCATGGTAACAAATGTATAGAGTGGAGTTTGGCAACTATGGCTTACGGACCAAATTGGCCCACTGTCTGATTTGTATGGTTTATAAGCTAAGAATGGATTTTAAATTTTAAAATGGTATAAAAATTGTTAACTATTTTGTGATATGTGGAACTTATATGAAATTCAAATTTCAGGGTTTATAAATTAAGTTTTATAGAACGTAATCACATGTCTGTTATTTCAGGATAAAGACCACCTTTAGATTGCAGCAGCAGTGCCGAGTTCTTGTGACAAAATCTATATGACTGCAAAACCTAAGATCTACAGTAACAGGCATGGAAATTGATAAACCTTAAATAACTTTAAGAAAAATCCAAGCTGTAGGATACATGTAGTAAGATACTATTATATAAAACTCCAAATACTACTATATATTCTTTATGGATAGTTGCATATCTCAAGTTAAAAAATGCATAGAATGATCATTATCAAGCTCTGGATAAGGTAACCACTAAAAATGAAAGGAAAATAGAATTAAAGAGAGTGTGGCTGTATCAGTCCTGCTTTATTGCTGAAAACAAAGCCTGAAATGTATATAGCAATGTGTTCAGTAAAGTATTAAAAACCACATATTTCCTTAGGTTTATAATTTCATATTTAAAAGCCAACCTAATTTTTAGAGTATATGAGAAATGTGGAAGTGGGAAAGGAAATTACAGATCATTCTTTCTGGGAACTATGTAGGAAAGGATGGACCATTGACGGAGTAGATGTCACTATTGGAGTGTCAAATTATTACTGTAAAGGAGCTCACTGACAACAAATTTGCAAGTTTTTTTATTGTTAGCTATTGAAATAATGACTTCATCTGCAGTGCCAGTGTGTGTGTAACTTGTCAATGGCTGTGATGGATTACATCTATGAGTAATCTATTTTCTTTTGGGCTTTGTCTTAGTCCTTTTGTACTGTTATAAGAAAACATATGAAACTAGATAATTTATATTAAAAACACACAAATTTATATTCCACAGTTTTAGAGGCTGGGAAGTCCAAGATTAAGATGCCACATTGGTGTCTGATGAGGGTTGCTCAAGGCTTCCAAGATGGCACCTTATTGCTGTGTCCTCATATAGCAGAGGAACAAAACATAAAAAGGCCTGAGCTAGTTCTGTCCAGCCTTTTTATAAGTCTTTCATTGTTCATGAGGACAAAAGCTTCATGGCTATTAATCACAGTTCTCAGACAGCCTCACCTCTTAATACTACCACAATGGGGATTAAGTTTAAGCCAAGTTCATTTTGAGGGGACATTTAGACCATAGAAATTTATGGCTAAATTGTCTCCTTGTTAAAGATAACTTGCTGCTGTTTGCAACACATAGGTATCAAATGTATATTCCTCAGCATGGACCCACCACCTCATTCACAAGGTACAAGTTGGCACATAGATATGGGATTGGCACTAAACTCTAGGGCTATCCTTAAGGGACAAGTCACACACAGATATTACTGAAATAACACAAGATAAAATAAACACTAAAACCAGCCTTAAATAGAAAGAGTTTGGAAAAAAATGAGTAATCTATTTTCTTTTGGGCTTAAGAAATAGAAAGAGTTTGAAAAAAAATGAGTAATCTATTTTCTTTTGGGTTTAAGCCTCTGGACCAGATATTATGGTACCAGGAAATAGCTCTCATCCATCTTCTATTAGCTATTTCCCACCTCTCACCCGCCCAGATACCTCCCAAAGGCCCTGTATAGAGGTATGGCCCAGTTCACCATTTACTTGGATTGGTTAATTACAGTGCACATTTGATGAAACTCAAGAACGCTTTTTTGTCTCAGCCCTAGGTCCAAAATCAGTCCTGGCCATTCTAAAGAACTCCTACTGAGAGATAAAAACTACCTGTGTATTATTTTGAAATGATTCTCCTTCGTAGTTTAGTGCCAGGCTAGATATTACAGATTATTTACCTGCTTCAAATATATACTTGGAGCTGTCTTCTATTTAAGTACGGGGTGGATTTAAATAAAAACAAGGAGCCAGGGACAACAAAACAAAGGTTCCCTCAGATCCTAACAAGTGCTGAAGGTCAGTGGGTTTCACAGTCTGAAAAACAGCAAACCAGTGTACGCAGTGACAATGACTACAGCTGCATTTGTTCAGCTTTGCTTGGTACAAAGTCTCTGGGCTGAAACTAAGTTCTTCTTTCTCTATTCCTGTGTCCCAGGAAGAGAGCTGTTGGGGCTTGTTAGTCTAAAGGAAGAGCTCGCTTTCTCTAAATTCCTCACAATGTCCTGAATTTCCACAATGGCTCTGATGCAGTCCTGCCACAGCCATTAGAGTTTAGTGATTGATTCCAGTATTATCATACCCTCTCTCCAAGCACACAGATCTTTTCTGTTTTTCTCAGGGATCTCTTACCCAAAACCCAAAACTGTTTCCACACTAAGCCCATCAATGTGCAATAGCTGCACCTTAGTGATTTTGTGAGCCTACCTCAAAAATATTTTGTCCTAACATAATTAGAATATGTGCAACAGGGGGGAAAAAACAACGCTTGTCTTAATTTATAGTCAATAAAGTTAGCTCAAATCCCTTTCCCACCCACTATTCAGGCATATTTGAACAAATTTCTAGTCTTTCTACATTTAGATTCCTATTCTACAAAATGGCAATGATTGCAGTAGTGACTACATCACAGATTATAGAAGAATTAAAACAAGGCAAAGAGAATGAATACCATGTTGTAAATTGTAAAGTTTGTACAGGTTGTCATTAATCTGCTACTGAAAAGTCCTCCATGCCCCACAACTCAACAAAACTGATTTTCCTGAGATCATGGTATCTAGACACTAATGGAAATACCATAAATATTATACAATTCCACTCAATAAATTCACCTACAGGAATAACCTATAGTTATTGACTATTATTTTTTACTTAGCGCATTACCGTGTGTTTTATAGCACATATTATCTCTTTGATACTCACAATTATTCTTTGAGGTAGGTATTATTACTGCCATTTTGCAGATGTGAAAACTGAGCCATAGAGCAATAAAGTGGCTTGCCCAAGGCCACACAGCCAGTAATTGTAGAACTGCAATTCAGCCTGGGTCTTTCCAGTCCTTCAAGGTTCTTTCAACTACCTCACACTTCTTCAAAGTATTCACTAGTCTGTTCCTTTATAGCAAGAATATGCCAGAGCAAATAGAACTAATTGTCTCAAGCTGTAAAGAGGTAGGAAACTACTTTTCTAAACTGAACTTTATGCTTCTGTTTCTGGAACAGCTTTGTTCCTCCACACCCCATAGTTGTCAAGATGAGATTTTTTGTTTGAATTTTAAATATCTTTATTTCTGTATAAATAAAGCAAGCTTTCAATAGTTAACATCTTAGGAACTATCAAAAGAAAGCTAAGTACTTACTTTCTCTGCCAAAATCATCACATACATTATTAAACTATAGAGCACCCATTTTGTGCAACAGTTCTGAAAGAAAATATCACTGATTCAACACTTCTTAAAATGCTGTTGCTGCTTATGAAAAGAAGAAAAAGGATAGCAGATATATTTGACTATTTGAATATTGTAATCACACAATATGGGGACCTACGTCCTGGGAACAATGTGATACCCATTTGAGTTGTTGATAAGGTTTGAACGAGGATTTAGTGCCTACGGATTGCTGATCCTGTCTCTCTAATTCATAGGACAATCAATACAAGACTGAATAATGCTAACATTTAGTTCTCTCTAGATTATAAAGGTTTCTGTTTGTGATTTTAAAACAATGCCTTGGCATGAGAACAAAACACCACTCTTGAACTCCCTAGGGCTAAAGAATTTTTAGTGTCTTGGTGCTTCTGATCTGACTTCACACTATCAACTTTTATGGGTCCAGATTACAACTCATCCTGACAAGTCAAGCAGTTATTTGAGCAGTGGCAAATTACGTAGACACAAGACAGTCTTGTTGTTCATGATTTTTGTTTTCCTCTTGAGTTCAGCAAAGAGCAAAAGCAGTAGAAGGCAGAAGTAGCACTCCTGCCTCAAAGCAAGGAGGAATTTGCAAAACTCAAAACGGAGGAAGACTTATGCACCTCTAAGTTATAGACAAAAGAAAAGAAATTGAAGATCATCTTCTTCCTCTACCAAGCACTATGTCTCGCCCTGCATATAGAAGACCGGAATACCAAAAAATTGTAAGATCCTTTTATAAAGGAGCATTATTCTACTTCATAGAAGATGTTTTTTTCTGAGCAATTCTTGATTTATTTTGAAAGGTGATGCTACAAGTAGAATTTTTCAGTTGAGCAAAATTGGGTTTGGTGAAGCACATCATAGATGACACCTCTGGGAATAGTTACAAAATATCTCTCAGTGTAACAGAATAATTGATTCTTTATAGAGATTTTAGGGTCTTCTTTCCTGATTAATTACATCCATAAAAGTGTGGAATTTTCCTCTTGTCTCTGTGAGGGAATACAAAAAGATTAAGCAATTCTTTGTGTGTCATATTGCAAGAAACAAGAAATTAAATGTATATAAAATAGTTAAATTTTATGTGTAAAATCAAATATGAGTAAGATTATCAAAAAATCTAGGTGTTAAAAGATTACCTTTAACAATTTGTTTCATAGTCTTAAATGTGTTTATATTTGCTCCATGTTATTATTCTTTCTATTTTAAATTCAGAGTTTTTTTAAACTTCATTTTGTACAGATTCAATTAAGATAATATTCTTTTTTAATTCTCTCTCATAATAGCTTTAGCCATTTAGATGTTATAGATGTGAAAATCATGGTTACATTTAAAACTATGTTAACTACTTCAGGAGAATAATTGGCATTTGATGTAATTAAGTAATTTCAGCCTTGGGTACTTTGGGTTGTAGTGAATAACTGGCACACCCCAATTGGAAATGCATACAGATGCCCCTTGTCCCTGGAACTCTGGATCTTGATTTCTTTTACTATCAGGCTCTCAAATACCAAAAAATATTGTACATAGTTCATATTGTGTGTGTGTGTGTGTGTGTGTGTGTGTTTACCAGTAAAATATTTTTATCCTGATATAGCACAAACCTCTGAAAATAATTAAGTGTTCCATTTTTCACATATGAAAATTTTGGGTTATTATGGTTTTAAAAACCATAAAA